TGCAGGGAAAAAGCAAGCCCAAGAGAAGGTGCATCAGCTACGTGTTGTGAACCTGTGGACAGCTTGTGTGCTCTGCCACAACAGAAAAGGCAAGTCCTCCTTCCTGTCTGGTAGCCATATGTAGGGCGGCTGCGTACCAGTTCAGCAGCAGGTTTACTGCACCGCAAGATCTTGTCTTCATCAGAAATTCCAGCAAATGCTTGCTAATAACAGTGCTGTCCTACACAGTCTTTCTACGAAAGACGTATTGTGGTAGTTTCTAGGTGTAAACTGAAGCGAAGGTTTTCCAACATATTTCCGTACGCTGCCCCTGCCACAGCATTGCTTACGCTGGTACAAAACTTTTGTTGAGCTGGATCACGCCAGGGAGAACGGGGATGACTTCCCCAGGTAAATGGCTGTTTGTGGGTGTGTGTATACATCTCAGAAAGGATGAAGAGAAAAGCTTGTGCTTTACACGCTTCCGAATAGCAGGTAAGAGAAAGGACAGGCAATTGCTAATTTGCTTGGGATATTACCTAAAGCGTTAAAGCCATTCTGAACATAATCAGCATGACTTGTCTCAGAGAGATGAAAATTTTGTCGTGATTGGTCTGCATCTGTGGCACTGGCAGTGAGAAGTCACAGCTGATGGGACAAACTTCACCCCTCTGACTGGAAGGCTTTTTATCTTATGCTAAAAAGGTTGAAAAACGTAACAGACTTTTACACAAGCCAGTCCAAAGCAACCTGACAGTAAGTAACTTTCTAAGAATGTTCCCACTACGTGTGAATTCGCTGCATGGATGTTGTCATAATGTTCCGTAAAGCTGGGGTGGGGTGAAATGGAGTTGCACAAAATTTGTTACAAGCGTAAGGGTCACTCATGAACCTGGAGATCTTTGGAAACTGTACTGTCAGTACATCTATGAATAGAAGCTTGACATTCACTGAAACATTAATTACTTGCTGTATCAGTCTGTGGAGTGGGAAAGAATACAGAAGATCATATACGGTATCACAGGAAGCTGATTATTTTTTAAAAAAATTCTTAAAACGTTCAATTCTCTGCAATGCTAACAAATGTCCCTAAACTAATGAGTAATGTAAAAATGGAGGAGAAAACTTTAAAACATTGCATTAATCTTGCATAAGAAAAGAAAGGAAATCACGTGTAAGGAAAGAAAGCAATCTAAAAAACTAAATAGCCAACTTCATTTCAGTTTCCAGGCTGAGTGAATTTTTGGGGGGGGGGAGAAAATAAGCTGCAGAAAAAGTAAAATGTTTCTTTATAACCTACTTTTCAATCCTCTTTAGTAATGGTTGCAATATTTACAACTCTTATTTGCAAGAGCAAATAGTTGTTTTTATTTTTGCTTTAGAAAGACGGGTCACAACAGCATTAGTTACACTCCGTACTTGTGCAAGAGCGTGGCTGGAGTGCCAGAACTTCCCAGGCAGAGAGTGCTGACCGCGCGTCCTGTCAGCCTCCCAGCTGCGGTCCCGTCTCCCTCCTCTTGCTTTCCCCCTGACCCCTGCCAGGGCAGCCCCCCCTTGGTACGCAGCAGACTGTCTCCTTGGTGGACACCTTCGCCTCCAGGCCCAGCTGGGTCACAGCAGCAGTGCCCATCTGTAGCCCCAGCTTCTGCCTCCCTTCACCCGGCCTGCTGCCAGCCCTCGTCAGCCTGGCCGTGCACTGGCTCGGCTGGCTGAGGGCCTGCTACTGACCACGTTTCTTCCCTCCTTCCCTAAAAATTCCCTACCGTTGCCGCCGGTACGTTGTACCCTAATAGGTGTTTGCTTAACTGCAGTATCCTGTAGCCATGACCGCTTACTGTTCACCTCCACAGTGCATAGTGGTTCCTCCACCAGTCTGAGCACTTGCCAGCACCTTCTCTGACCATTCTGCATTTACTTTGGATCAGAGAGTTGTGACCAATTTATTTTTGTACATATAAGCTAGAAACAAACCACAGAAGGGCTGTGCTCTGGGGTGATGGTCTTTTCTACCCAGTTAAATGTTTCTCCAGCTTTGTTAAAATCTTCCATTACAAGTCTCTGGTACAAGTCATGAGATGAGAGCGAGATCAGACGATGCTTGCTTTTTGTTTCTTAAGATCATTTTTGGGACAGTGGTTGCTCTCAGCCCCAGTTACCCAGACTGCTTACGAAGACTGCAGAATCCACACTGGACGCTGTTCACAAATTCACCTGTTCATTCACAAAGTCTGGCCTGCGTGCGGAACCCTCCGCTGGATGCTGCAGCCTGAGCGCACCTGTACAGTGCGCCTCTGCCCGGCAGCGCGGCGCAGGCCAGATCGCTCTGCTGAGCCCCCTCGCGCTACCGCCTTCTGCTTGTTGTGTCCCGCTCCTTCAGCCGGGCAGGAGGGCGGGGAGGGCACCCGAGCACAGCGCTCTGCGCTCCGCGGGGCAGTTCAACAAAGCACAGCGTCTGTGTTTGGAAAGGCTGCCGTCGCTGTGAAATCACCAGCCATTCCTGATGGTTCTCTGGAGCCCTTTTCTAGTACTCTCACCATCCAAATGGAGAAAAACAATTTTTAAATTTATTAAAATAAAAAACCCACAAAAGTACACAGCATCAGTGAAGTTTTTCCAAAACTGATTCAGCAATGTTTCGTTTTCTCTGCAGCATTAATCACAGAATCACAGAATGTTCGGGGTTGGAAGGGACCTCTGTGGGTCATCCAGTCCAACCCTCCTGCCGAAGCAGGGTCACCTGCCCCAAGCCTGTACTGGTGCCTGGGGTTGCTCTTCCCCCGGTGCAGGACCTTGCCCTTGCCCTTGTTGAACCTCATCAGGTTCCTCTGAGCCCAACTCTCCAGCCTGTCCAGGTCTCGCTGAATGGCAGCACAGCCTGCTGGTGTATCCACCACTCCTCCCAGTTTGGTGTCATCAGCAAACACAATCTCCTATGTCTGTGCATATGCACTATAAAATTATTTTTAACTGCATGAATTTGCTACTGTTTTTTTCCACAAAAATCTTGTAACATACAAGTCTTTCACTAGTAACTGAAATTCTAGGACAACAGGTGTCTACCTAATTCAAGGAAAGGTAAACCACTGGGTCTGTCCTTATTATTGCTGCCCTAAGTCACAAATTATTGCCCTTTGTGCCTTAAAAAACATCGTGCTTAGTAACTCAGCAGAGCTGGTAAGTGTGAGCCGCTCTCCTTGGCTCATCCCAAGGCTAGGACCTGTCTCAGAAGTATCGGTAGCAATTCAGCCTTTCCCTGAGAAGCCAGTTACAGCTTAGCGTACTGCTACAACACGCAGGAATCGACAACTCTCCTGTTGCTTCTTGGCAAAGGAAAACCTTGTCTTACCAGAGGAGCAGTTATCAAAGTTGAGATCTCCACAGATGACATCAAAAGCCACCAGCTCCTCGGGATTGGCTGTGCTGGAGGAGGAGGTAGATTTTCTGAATTCAGACAGCCAATCTTGAAGCATGTCCAGTTGCTCACATCGAACAGTAGTATCTCCTGCAGCAAACAAAAAGACAACCAAAACAAGAAACGAGACCTCATTTTAGCACATTACTCAGCCATGTGTTAGTGGCTAAGCTATTCCTAGACATCTCGAGAAAAAGTGGGCAAGACTGAAAAGGGTGTGGTTGATAGTACCGAGTGCTCAGACGACTGTGTGAGGTTCATTAGGAGCCACGCTTCTCGATGGTTTAACTGGCTCCTTCTGGAAGCAGCCATGCGAGACACGGCTGAAGAATGAGCAGAGAAGGCACCCGTGCTGCAGCCAGCCAGGCCCAGCCCCAGCATTCCTGGCCGCGTGCGCAGGAGGTTCGGATGCACAGCACATTTACAGTCAGGAGCTCAGAGTTAAAATCCTGCTTCAGACAAAACTGCACAGCGTATTCTGGGGGAAGCCACTTGATCTTTCTTCACTTTGCTTTCTAATTTTTAAAAATGAAAAATTAAACTTTCAAGTGTTATTAGTAAGTGTATGTCAACGGTAAATTCAACTTACTGGTACTGTAGTAGTCCATCTGAGGGAGGGTTCTGTTTCTGTTCAAGTAAGAATGTTTTTTCGTGTTTTTAAAGGTCTGTGTAGCTACAGGTTTAGGTGGGCGGTGCTTCAGAAGCAAAGGACTGGATCCTGGTGACCCGCTGCAAGGACGTGACGCTAGGCGCCGTGCTGGGGTCTGCCCTGGTTTCCAGGAGTGATGTGACAGAGCGGAGACTGATTGCTTGCCAAATACTTTTTGTTTATGAATCCATCTGACACACAAAACAGCTCTTTAATTATAGCAACTAACCACACTTAATTTCAAGCACATTAGGTGATAAGAAGTCTGAGAAAAAATTAATTACTGGCTCTCTTAAAATGATTACAGCCAAAGCTTGAGGTAGCGAGAGGAGCAGGAAGAGACACATTCTAGAAAGAACTGGTTACCGTTCTGTCTTTCCTTTCCTTTTGTTTTCACTGAACCTACAGTTAACAGAATTTTGCTTGTTTCAGAACAAGTCAGAACAACGTTACTTTTCTTCAACAGAAGAAAAAACAAGTTTTTTTTTTTTTTTTTCACATGCCACAACTGGAAGGAAAAGCAGGAAATCCGAAATTCCTTATTCTGACTACAATTTTAACTTAATTTACTGCTTTGTGCTAGCTGTTGAGAATGTGTAAAGCAGAATTAGAAACATCGGCGATGTCTGTCCAAAGCTGCTTTCAGTGGCCACTGTGGGAATGGCGAGCAGTTAGGTCTCCACACTCACAGCCCGTTAATCACTCAGCCAGCGCTCTGTAGACCTGTGAAATGTGAGCTGGCAGCACGCTGTCCCTGGGTCAGCAGGCAAACTGCAGGCCTTAGGGCTTCACTCCCCTACCACCATTAACCTCTAAAGCGTTGGATTTTCAAGAATATCTCGGGGTCTGGGTGTGGGTGTGTTTGTTTGTTAACACAACAGTTAAATACAAGCTGAGTCGGAAGTGTTCAATCCAGCATGACTTGATACAATCCTAAACAATTTAAAGAAACAGCGAAAAGAACATGACCAGGGACATCTCTTTAGACTGGTAATTCCAACCGCAAATAATCTGGTGTTTTTCTTCCACTCGCGTTATTCCCAACATCTCTGCCAGCTGGGCTGTAATATAACAGCCGGTACCAGTGCTTCCGGGCTCTTGTTCCTCACCTACAGTTTCGCGTTCCTTGTAGCTCAGGTTCACACAGTCCCCCAGTGACACAGACCCAGACCAGCGCATTCTTGGGGAAAGCCCTTGCTACCACAGCACAAGAAGCGCCTGCCGTGAAGATGCAGCCAGACAAAAGCACAAGAAATAGGTCACGTGGAATAAACACAGCCCAGGGCAGGTGACACTCACCGCAAAAGATGTGCGTGACTAACACACGCATGCTGCTTAACGAAAGACACAGATGGAATCAGAGCTTCACAGAAAGCATGATTTTGAAAGGGACCTCTGGAGATCATCCAGCCCCACCCCTCTGCTCGAGCAGGGTCACCTACACCGGGCTGCACAGGACCACGTCCAGTCAGGCTTTGTGTGTCTCCATGGTTTGAGACTCCGTAACCTCTGGGTAACCTGTTCCAGTGTCACCCTTGCAATACACAACCTTTTCCGTGGTTTAAATGGCATTTCAGTTTGTGCTCACTGCCTCTCGTCCTGTCACTGGGCCCACTGAGGAGTCTGTCTCCATCTTCCTCACACCCTCCCATCAGGTGTTCGCACACTTTGACAAGAGCCTTTCTCAGGCTTATCCTCCTGGATCTGAACAGTCCCAGCTTGCTCATTCCTGGTGGAGCTTATTCAGATGCATGGACTGTCCTCCTTTTGCAGCGTCTGACACTTTCTATCCTGTCTCATCTCCTTAGGCCAGTACTTTCTTCTGGCCTGAATTTGTTTCCTCGTAACGTAACAAAATAATCATGGTGCTTGTTGACAAGAATGCAGTCACATCTTGCTCCCCATTAAGTCCCAATTATATAGACTGCTCATCTGTTGAAAACTGGCTTTTACATCCCTGAGATCATGTCAGCAATCTGGACACCCACAAATCCATGGGCCCCAATGGAATGCACCCACAAGTACTGAGAGAGCTGGCAGATGTCATTGCTGAGCCACTCTCCATCATCTTTGAAAGGTCCTGGAGGACCCAGGGAACTACAGGCCGGTCAGCCTCACCTCCATCCCTGGAAAGACGATGGAGCAGCTCATTCTGGAGGTCATCAATAAGCAGGCGGAGGAAAAGAAGGCTATCAGGAGTAGTCAACATGGATTCACCAAGGCAAAATCATGCCTGACCAATCTGATAGCTTTCTACTATGGCATGACTGGCTAGGTAGGTGAGGGGAGAGCCGTGGATGTTGTCTACCTAGACTTCAGCAAGGCTTTCGACACAGTCTCCCATGACATCCTCTTAGAGAAGCTCAGGGAGCGTGGGCTGGATGCGTGGTCGGTGAGGTGGATTGAGAACTGGCTGAATGGCAGAACTCAGGGGGCTGGCATCAGCGGCGCTGAGGCTCGTT